TACCAGCAGGTGGTAGAGTTAGGACTGGAACTCAGTTTCAAGTATTTTAGCTTCATATTCTTTTATTTCACAACATCTGTCATTAACTTCTGAGGTCCTGCACCAGGTCTCACTGGATCCTCCCATTGGCAAGCTGGTTGGAAAGCGGTATAAGTAGTGAGAAGGCAGTTATATGGAAGAACAGTAAGGGAGAGAAGAGGAAGGTACAAGGTAATGAAGTCTAAGCAGGGCACTGGCAGGCCAGGGAAGACTTGAAGAGCAGCCCATACATGGTTTGGTTGACTTAAGGTCTCAAGTGTGATTCCGAGTTGCTCTTTTAGATCCAGTTCATGGGAAGTTTCCGACAGCCCAGTAGGAGGTACCTCCCTTCCACTGGAGGAATCATGCTAACCAGAGAGCTGAGGTGCTCCAGACTTTATTCAGCATGACAATATTTCCTGTCTTTGGCCTATTTTCCTTGGTCCAAGCTCTTAGGTCTTGGCTTCTCTCTGCCAAAGGGACCTGGGATCATCAGGCAAGAATCCTCCCATTTATTGTCCCTGTTCTACATTCCTGACCTATGACTATTTGCAGACCTTGGGACCAGCTTTCCAAAACCCAACATAAGCTGCTTTAATTTTATCATTGTCCTATAATTTCATGGAAATGACTGCTGCAAAGCCAACAAATGACTAATAAAATCCCTCAGCCCACTCATTTTTAATGTCATTCTGGAACTCCAGAACAGAGACCATCTGGTCACAGTGCTTACTTTATATAAAAGAGGAGCTGAATTGAAAATCACATTTCTAAGAGAACATTGAAGAGTCATCTGCTTGTAAACCCAAAGCACAGCACAAATCATGTTTCCTTGAGCAATGATAAAATACTCTAGGTGCTACATATTTAGCTTTGCCCATACACACACACACACACACACACACACACACACACACACACACACACACACACAGAGTAGACAAACATCCGTCAACTTTCCACTATTAATAACTGTTCCATTTATTGAGTACTATCCTTGTGCCAGGCAATGTAAAAAACACCCAGATTATTTTGCAAGAGTATTATTAGTATACTCATTTTATAGGTGAAATAAATAGAAGTTAAGTAAACTTGCTGCAAGTCACACAGCTAGTAAATAACAGGCCAGGCTTAGGACCAAGGTCCATCAGTTTAGTTTCTACACGTGTGCCCTGATCAACAGATTTATTAGACTATGTGTGTGTGTGTGGAAAAGCTACCCCAAGCAATAACTAATTTTTCAACTAGAAAAAATAAGTTGTTTTTAATTTTAAATTTTTAAAAATTGTGGAATAATTTTATTTATTTATCTTTATTTCCACAGGTTACTGGGGAACAGGTAGTGTTTGGTTACATGAGTCCGATCTTCAGTGGTGATTTGTGAGATTTTGGTGTACCCATAACCAGAGCAGTATACACTGTACCATATTTGTAGTTTTTTTTTTTTTTTTCTCACCCTCTTCCACCCTTTCCTCCTGAGTTTCCAAAGTCCATTTTGTCATTCTTATGCTTTTGCATCCTCATAGCTTACCTCCCACTTATGAGTGAGAAGATAATGATGTTTGGTTTTCCATTCCTGAGTTACTTCACTTAGAGTAATAGTCTCTAATCACATCCAAGTTGCTGCAAATGCCATTAATTCATTTCTTTTTACAGTTGAGTTGTATTTCATTGTATATGTATACCAGTTTCTTTATGCACTTGTTGATTGATGGGCATTTGGGTTGGTTCCACTTTTTTGCAATTGTGAATTGTGCTGCTATAAACATGTGTGTACAAGTATCTTTTGTATAATGACTTCTTTTCTTCTGGGTAGATACCCAGTAGTGGGATTGCAGGGTCAAATGGTAGTTCTACTTTTAGTTCTTTAAGGATTCTCCACACTGTTTTTCATAGTGACTGTACTAGTTTACATTCCCATCAGCAGTGTAGAAGTGTTCCCTGTTCACTGCATCCATGCCAACATCTACTATTTTCTTTAAAATTTTTTGATTATGGCCATTCTTGCAGGAGTAAGGTGGTGTTGCATTACGGTTTTGATTTGCGTTTCCCTGATCATTAGTGATATTGACCATTTTTTCATATGTTTGTTGGTCATTTGTACACCTTCTTTTGAGAATTGTCTATTCATGTCCTTAGTCCCCTTTGCGATGGGATTATTTGTTTTTTGCTTGTTGATTTGAGCTCATTTTAGATTCTGGGGATATTAGTCCTTTTTTCAGATGTATAGATTGTGAAGATTTTTTTCCACTCTGTGGGTTGTCTGTTTACTCTGCCGACTGTTCATTTTGCCATGCAAAAGCTCTTTAGTTTAATTAAGTCCTAGCTATTTATCTTTGTTTTTATTGCATTTGTTTTTGGTTTCTTGGTTATGAACTCCTTGCCTAAGCCAATGTCTACAGGAGTTTTTCCAATGTTATCTTCTAGGATTTTTATAGTTTTGGGTCTTAGATTTAAGTCCATAATCCATCTTGAGTTGATTTTTGCATAAGGTGAGAGATGAGGTTCCCATTCCATTCTCCTACATGTGGCTAGCCAATTATTCCAGCACCATTTGTTGAAAAGGGTGTCCTTTCCTTACTTTACGTTTTTGTTTGCTTTGTTGAAAATCAGTTGGCTATAAGTATTTGGGTTTATTTCTGGGTTCTCTATTCTGTTCCATTGGTTTATGTGCCTATTCTTATAACAGTACCATGCTGTTTTGGTGACTATGGCTTTATATTGTAGTTGGGTAATGTGATGCCTCTAGATTTGTTCTTTTTGCTTAGTCTTGCTTTGGCTATGGGGGCTCTTGATTCCATATGAATTTTAGAATTGTTTTTTCTAATTGTGTGAAGAATTTGTAGATTGCTTTTGGCAATATGGTCATTTTCATAGTATTGATTCTACCCATCCATGAGCATGGTATGTATTCCCATTTGTTTGTGACTTCTGTGATTTCTTTCAGCAGTGTTTTATAGCATTCCTTGTAGTGGTCTTTTACCTCCTTAGTTAGGTATATTCCTAAGTATTTAATTTTTTTGCAGCTATTGTAAAAGGGGTTGAGCTGTTGATTGAATCTCAGCTTGGTTGCTGTTGGTGTATAGAGAGCAACTGACTTGTGTACATTAATTTTGTATCCAGAAACTTTCCTAAATTCTTGTATCATTCTAGGAGCTTTCTGGAAGAGTCTGCATGGTTTTCTAGGTAAAAGATCATATCAACAGACAACAGTGACAGTTTGACTTCCTCTTTATTGATTTGGATGCCTTTTATATCTTTTACTTGTCTGATTGCTCTGGCTAGGACTTGAATACTATGTTGAAGAGGAGTGGTGAGAGTGGGCATTCTTGTCTTGTGCCAGTTCTCAGAGGGAATGCTTTCAACTTTTCCCCATTCAGTATTATGTTTGCTGTGGATTTGTCATAGAAGGCTTTTATTATATTGAGGTATGTCCCTTGTATGCCAATTTTACTGAGAGTTTTAATCATAAAAGGATGCTGGATTTTGTAGAATGCTTTTTCTGCATCTATTGAGATGATCATGTAATTTTTGTTTGTAATTATTTTATGTGGTGTGTCATTTTTGTTGACTTGTGTATGTTAAACCATCCCTGCATCCCGGGTATGAAACCCTCTTAATCATGGTGTATTATCTTTTTGATATGTTGTTGTATTTAGTTAGCTAGTATTCTGTCAAGAATTTAAGCATCTATGTTCATCAGAGATATTGGTCTGTAGTTTTCTTTTTGGTTATGTCCATTCCTGGTTTTGATATTAGGGTGATGCTTCATAGAATGATTTAGGGATAGTTTCCTCTTTCTTTATCTTTTGCAATAATGTCAATAGGATTGATAATAATTCTTCTTCAAATGTCTGGTAGAATTCTGCTGTGAATCTATTTGGTCCTGGACATTTTTTTGTTGGTAATTTTTAAATTACCATTTCAATATTTCTGCTTGTTATTAGTCTGGTCAGGTTATCAAAATTCTTTCTGATATAAGCTAGGAGAGTTGTATTTTTCCAGGAATTTATCCATATCTTCTAGGTTTTCTAGCTATGCACATAAAGGTATTCATAATAGCCTTGAATGATCTTTTGTGTTTCTGTGGTGTCAGATGAAATAAAACCCATTTCATTTCTTAGTGAGGTTATTTGGATTTTCTCTCTTCTTTTCTTGCTTAGTGTTGCTAATGGTCTACCAATTTTATTTGTCTTTTCAAAGAATGAGCTTTTTGTTTCATTTATGTTTTGTATTTTTTGTATGTTTGTTTCCATTTCATTTAGGTCTGCTCTGCTCTTTTCTTTCTTCTGCTGGGTTTGGGTTTGTTCTTGTTTTTCTAGTTCGTTGAGATATAACTATAGATTTTTCATTTGTGTTCTTTCAGACTTTTTGATGTAGGTGTTTAGGGCTATGAACTTTCCTCTTAGCACCACCTTTGTTGTGTCCCAGAGCTTTTGACAGGTTGTGTCACTATTGTTCAGTTTGAAGAATTTTTAAATTTCCACCTTGATTTCATTTTTGAGCCAATGATCATTCGGGAGCAGGTTATTTAACTTCCATATATTTGCATGGTTTTGAAGATTCCTTTTAGAGTTGATTTCCAGTTGTATTTACTGTGGTCTGAGAGAGGGCTTGGTATAATTTCAATTTTCTTAAACATATTAAGGCTTGTTTTGTGGCCTGTCATATGGTCTATCTTGGAGAAAGTTCCATGTATTGTTGAATAGAATGTATATTCTGCAGTTGTTGGATGGAATGTTCTGTATATATCTGTTAAGTCCATTTGTTCCACAGTATAGTTTAAATCCATTGTTTCTTTGTTGACTTTTTGTCTTGATGACCTGTCAAGTGCTGTCAGTGGAGTACTGACTATTATTATGTCGCTTTCTGTCTCATTTCTTAGGTCTATTAGTAATTGTTTTATAAATTTGGAAGCTCCAGTGTTAGGTGCATATATGTTTAGGATTGTGATCTTTTCCTGTTGAACAAAGCCTTTTATCATTATATAAAGTCCCTCTTTGTCTTTTCTGGGGGGTGAGCAGAGGGCCATTTATTGACCTTGAGAGGGGTCCCTTGCTCTGTGCGGGAGGCCAGTAGGGCACCCTGGGACCCATGTTCCCTCCTTGCTTGGATTTAGGTGGCCCAGAGCACTGAGGGGTTGGCCTTGGCTCCTCAGCAAGTTAGTGATAAGCAGGATGGAGCTGGGGACTCCCCGCCCTGGCCTGTAGTCTCTCTATGACCCCAGGTCCTAAGCAGTCAGTGGTGGGACCCAGGCTCTGAGACCCAGCTCTGAAAAAAAGCAATGCTGCAGGGAGTCTGGGCTGGAGGGCCTGGACCAGAGAACAGAGAGTTTAAGCAGGGATTCCCACAGGGACTCACCCAGTGCCAGTGTCCGCTGACAGGGAATCCCACACTTCTGCCCTGCCACATCCTTCCTCTGATCTCATGGCTGAAAAGCCACACAAGAATTCCTGCAACTCAGTGATGCATCTGTCCAGTACTGAGGAGCCAGTGATACATAGGGACAGAGGGGAGGGCTGCAGGAGAGGAGGCAGGAAATGCCCTCACAGCAGGGCCCAGAGAAAGACCGATCCCAGGATGAGCAGGAACTCCATGCATAGGGCCCAGGGGCTAATGGCCGCCAGGACCACTACATTGCAGAGGTCTTCCTTGCAGCAGGAGATCTTGGAGTTCATGAAGATGCTTAGAAATTTCCATGTCTGGAATCCAATGTCGTTCTTTGGGCAGGAGGTGAGGCAGAGCTTGTTCTCCTTTCTCACTTTATTTCAAAAGACATTCACTTTCTGGGAGATACAGACCCTGTCTGGGAAGGGGCACAAGGTCACGCTGTAGGAGTCCCTTTCCAAGACTGCCCAGCACTTGTAGCAGCACAGACCCTGAGCTCTCTCCATGTCCAGCACGGCCACCAGCAGGGACAAAGTCTTCATGGCATGGAGACTACTCATTCTAGGGTGCTGGTGCACAGACAAACCCCTGCGAATGGGAGCAGCCCTCAGCCAACTCACCCTCCTGGGGCTCACGTGAGTCCTACATAGCAGCAAAGCCAGAACATCTGCTTCTCCATCGCCCACCCTGTCCTTAACATGGCCACCCAAAGGAGAACTCTGTCTGCCTCACGCCCCTACCCCAGTCCCCGTTCCTCCCTCCCATCCTTGCCCTTCAATTCTCACCCAGAGCCCCACGCCTGCCCTCTTTGTCTTTTTTAACCACTGTTTCTTTAAATGTTATTTTGTTTGAGATAAGAAACAGCTACTCTTGCTCACTTTTGGTGTCCATTTGTCTGACATGTCTTTTTCTATCCCTTTATCTTAAGTTTGTGTGAGTCCTTATGTGTTAAGTGAGCCTCTTAAAAGCAGCAGATAGTTGGTTGGTGAATTCTTATCCATTCTGCAATTCTGTATCTTTTAAGTGGAGCATTCAGGCCATTTACACTATGTTAGTATTGAGATGTGAGGTACCATTCCATTCACCATGCTATTTGTTGCCTGTATATACTGTTTTTTTTGTTGTTGTTGTTGTTCTTTGCTTTTTAAATTGTATTTTTATGTTTTAGGTCCTGGGAGATTTATACTTTAAAGTGGTTCTATTTTGATGTGTTTCCAGGATTTGTTTCAAGATTTAGAGCTCCTTTTAGCAGTTCTTATAGTGGTGGTTTGGTAGTGGCAAATTCTCTCAGCATTTGTTTGTCTGAAAAAGACTGTATCTTTCCTGCTGAGATTACAGGCTTGAGCAACCATTCCTGGCCAAACTCACCGGATTTCTTTACATAAATTTCAATATTGTGATTAAACTTGGTTGCTCTGCCTCTGCTCTTAGCTGTTTCTTCTTACCAAAATTTGGTAGCCTGATTCAGAACTTAAAAGTTCTGAACCTCAGTTTCTACATGCCACATGGGTTTTCCTTCAGGACACATTTTGTGATATGGGAATTCAATTGTCTCTCTAGCTTGACCTTAAGGTTGTTGTGTTCTTATCATTAGATTATACTCTGACTCTACTTATCTCAGTAATCACAGTTCATAGGAAGGACCCAAATCTCCTGCTCTGACAATTGATTTGCCCCACTTTATGGAGGATGTAGAAACCTAAAGTAATTGGTTCAGAATTACATAGCACATAACTGGAAAATTAAAAGACCCAGAGAATGAGAGAGAACATCCTATGTGTTCCTTAGTTATTAGGGCAAGTGCAGGTTAAAATAAAAATTAAACAGAAATCAAACATCATGGAAAGGTATGTTTTAGAAAGGAACTTAAAAGTCTTTTCCCTGCCAAATGTCAGAAACACTGTAATCCATTTTTGGAAAGGAATGCTGTCATTAGTGACAGTATTTCAGCTTGGACTTTGACCAGGTAAAACAAGTATTAAAATCAGACTTAACTTGTCTGACACAAATTTATTTTCTTTCTATCTGTCTTTCTTTTTCTTTCCTTCCTTCCTTTTTCTTTCTCTCTTTCCTTCCTTCTTTTCTCCTTCCTTCCTTTCTCTTTTTTTCTTTCTCTTTCCTTCCTTCTTTCCCTCCCTCCCTCCCTCCCTCCCTCCCTCCCTCCCTCCTTCCTTCCTTCCTTCCTTCCTTCCTTCCTTCCTTCCTTCCTTCCTTCCTTCCTCCCTAAACAAGTCCCCTCTCTTGCCTTCCTGGTTTATTACTGGATCTGCCATATTCCTAGGCACCCACCTAGGACACTCATTATCATCTTTTATTCTCTCCACATTGACATGCAAACCAATGGCCAAATCCTGCCAATCTTGCCTCTGCTACTCTCCTGTTTGCTCATGTCTTTCCATTTTCACTGTCATCGTTTTTGTGCTTAGGTGATCTCACAAACCTGTTGATCTATGTGCTTCTACTATAAGTGCAGGCAGATTAAGTTCTGATAGACAGTAACTGTCAGGTCTCTAATTCTCTTAAAAACTTCAATGACATTCCCATTCTTACTGGAATCAGAATAGACTCTTTCCTCTGGCATTTGAAGTCCTCCATCCTCATGGCCACTTTTCCAATTTTATCTTTTTGTGAGACAGAGTCTCACTCTGTTGCCCAAGCTGGAGTGCAGTGGCATGATCTTGACTCACTGTAGCCTCGACCTCCTGGGCTCAAGCCATCCTGCTACCTCTGCTTCCTGAGTATCTGGGACTACAAGCATGTGTGCTATCTTGTCCAGCTACTTTTTGTGTTTTTTGTAGAGACAGCATTTTGCCATGTTGCCTAGGCTGGTCCTGAGCTCAAATGATCCACCCACCTTGGCCTCCCAAAGTGCTGGGATTACAGATGTGCAGTACTGCACCTGGTTACAGTTTTAGCTGTTATTACTCCTTTACCATGTATACCATGAATTAACCATGCTAGCTTGTGTTTTTCCTTGAACACATACTGCCACCAGCATGTTAGCACATGCTGTTTCTTCTGTTTGGAAGGGCTCCTGTATTCCCACTCCTAATCTGCACTTATTGGCATACAATATATCAAGGATTGGCAAACTATAACCTGAAGGCCAAATCTGGCCTGCCAGCCTGTTTTTGTAAATAAAGTCTTATTTGAACATAACTATGCCCATTCATTTAAGTGTATAGTCCTTTAGGCTGGGCATGGTGGCTCATGTTTGTAATCCTAGCACTTTGGGAAGCAGAGGAGGGTGGCCTGACCAATATGGTGAAACCCCATCTCTACTAAAAATACAAAAAATTAGCTGGGCATGGTGCTGGGCACCTGTAATCCTAGCTACTCAGGAGGCTGAGGCAAGAGAATTGCTTGAAACCAGAAAGTGAAGGTTGCAGTGAGCCAAGATCACGCCACTGCCCTCCAGCCTGGGCCACAGAGCAAAACTCCATCTGAAAAAAAAAAGTATATAGTCCTTTATAGAACATGTGTGCGGAACTCTGCAATACATCCTTAGCCAATATTGATTACTCTGAATATCCAATTCAACATGTTTCAGCAAAGAATGTTTGAGTTCCTACCATTTGCTAAATGTACAAAAACAGAAAAGTTATGGCCCTTCACTCAAGGAGCTCACCACCTGAAAGTGATGACACAACTATAAAACTATACAATTCCTCTACCATATATCAAGTAGATGAATAGCAGTCCATGTAGGAGATACGTGTTAGCACAGAATAGTGAGTGGTGAACATTTTGGAGTGGCTGAAGTGCTAGGAAACAGAAGATTAATAGCCGAGGGGCATTTGCAATTATGTATAGTAGTTTATCAAGGTGACAAAGGGTTAAAGTCACTCCAGAGGAACAGTAGGTACAAGGGGATGGACATAATCATGTGTTCTCTTTAGGGAACCTCAGGTAGGCCCGCACAAAGCAAAATGGAAAGAGAATGGGCTTTGGAGGCAGACTAACCTGGACTTGAATCCTGACTCTCAGGCAGATTAAGTGGCTGACTGAGCACATCTTCAGATTCGATTAGCCCATTTTCTTATCTAGCAGTATTTATGTGAATGAACTGAGACGACATAATTGAAAGTTTATGGCACATTGTTTGACACAGACTGTTAGGCGACAAAAAAAAATTATTGGAGTTCTCATCAGTATGTAGCAAAACAAAAAAGTTTACATAGGTTAGCATGAGACAGAGTAGAGGAAAGGCATGCAGGCCTCAAGATACAAAGACAGCTGTTTTTTCCCCGGTATCTCACAGTCTCTATTCTTCCAGTAGTGCTTGTTCCTTCCTGTATTATACACAGTGGCATGCTGATCTAATCCTTTCTTTCCTGTGAATTCCTGGAGGGAAGGGACCTTTCCTTTTTCCTCTCTGTGTCTCTCGAAGTGCTTAGCACTGTGTCATATGTAGAGCAGGTCTGATGAATATTTGTTGAATTTTTAAGCCTTAGATTATGAAAGGTACTTTCACAGTAATCAACCCATTTTTTTCTATGAAATTGAGACTAATGGGTTGTGAGATGTTTCACATATTTGAGCTTTCCCAGATTGATGATCCCAGTTCTAACTTGCAGATTCCAAGAAGTAGTATTTGTTCTTGTTTCTTCTCTCTTTGCCTCACTCTCTCATTCAGGCTCACTTTTCCCTCTTAGAAACATCCTGCAGCCTCCCTCCAGGTGGCCGCTGCCTTTGTAGGCATGGCTTCTATTTGTTGTTATAGTCACACCAAAATGCTCAGAGTTTGTATCAGACCTTTTTCTGATAGGTTCATGGGAAGGAAAATTAGAATAATCAGAAATTGATTATTTTAGGCCTTGAGAGGAAGCCAGTATGTTTTCAAATCCTTCCAGAAAAGCAAACCTCATCTGCCATATATAAGGTCGGTGCTGTGGGTCACTGATGGTGACCATATATAAGGTCAGTGCTGTGGCTCAACTTGACTGGATTAAGGGATGACTAGATGGCCGTCGAGGCACTGTTTCTGGGTGTGTCTGGGAGGGTGTTGCCAGATCTTTGAGTCCGTGGACTGGGAAAGGAAGACCCACACTCAAAATGGGTGGGCACCAAACCATTGGCTGCTAACACAGCTAGAACAAAGCAGGTAGAAGCAGGGATAAGCAGCTTTCTGACTCTTCTCACTTTCTCTCTCTCTCTCTTCCCACACCAGACCCTAGCTTCTCTTCTCTGCTCCTGTTCTTGGACATCAGACTCCAGGTTCTTCAGCCTTTGGATTCTGGGACTTGCACCAGAGGCCTTCCGGGATTCTTAGGCCTTTAGACTCATACTGAGGGCTGCACCGTCAGCTTTCTGGTTTGAGGTTTTCGGTCTTAGACTGAGCTAAGCTATGGGCTTCTCTCTTTTCCCAGCTTGCAGACGGCCTGTCCTGGGACTCTGCCTTGTAATTGTGTGAACCAGATCTCCCTATAAACTCCCTTTTACATACACATATATCCTATTGGTTCTGTCCCTATGGAGAACTCTGACTAAAACAGGGTCCTACAAAGAACACAACTCATAATTGTAGAATCATATTACAGCTATCATGTGCTGAAAACTTTCTATGTGGTAGACACTTTGTGTAAGTTACGTTCATAGCTTATAACACCCATGCAAGTTACTATTCCACTTTACAGATGGCAAGCTGAGA